TCGGTGTCGGCCCTGTCGGGCGCCACGGCCGGCATCCTCGGCCTCACCGGCCTGCACGGCTTCGTCTTCTACTTCCTGGCCTCCGTGCTCCTCTCCGTGCTGCTGGTGCTGAAGGCCGGGCGGCGATGGAACAAGTACTTCAAGTCCCGGCGGCCGCTCTTCACCGGGGGGCTCGTAGGGGGGCTCTTCACCTACGTCCTCTTCTGGACTTTCCTCTACGGCATGGTCCACGTCTACTGAAGCGGCGAGGAGCCGCCTCAGCCGCAGTGTTTTTTGTTTCTCTCAATGAGGCAGGAGGACTGTTGCCAAAAAAGTCGTCGACACCACTAGGCCAGCTTACCTTGTAAACCGTTGTTCGTTGCTTGTATTGTTAATGACGTCAGTAAATTATGTCCGAGCACAAATGAAGCGGTAGCACTGTTCTAATTAAACGCAATGTGAAACATCACTTGGACGTCTCCTATGAATACTCGTGCGGTGGTTGAGGGAGGCCTTTTGTCCTTCGTTGCAGTCACGTCCATGGATTTTGCCCGCCTTAGTCCTTGTATCCCCTGCATTTTACAATTAGAAACACCAGTCATCTTCCCTTGTGGTTTTGCAGCTTGCGTCCGCTTACGAAGACTGATGGAAGTAGCATATAACACGTGACCCTAAAAATAATCCACTGACACAGGGAAACAGTTCACAGTAGTATGTAATTAAGTGCACGTAAAGGTTTGGTACAGAAGTATATGAGTGCAAATGTTATCTTTCACAGTTGCTATATGTACACTCTAAAAATAAATGACATTTTCACATGTACTCTTCACTGGCATAAACAAAAGTCAGTACATAATACTCTCAGAAGTCCAGCACTTTGCTCTGTTCTGAATACCATTGTGCCCGATGAAACAGAGGCAACCAAATGAAAAATACAGCATCTGATTAACTGCTCCCTCAGCCTGTGCTGAACATGCCTGTAAGACAGCATTTTCTCCAACCGAACCATATATTACTGTGGTTCCATATATTTCTGGTGGGAACTGAAAGGAAAAATTAAGCACCTATCATACACATAATCTCTCTTTGCTGTAGAGGTGATCCTGCAAACAGTGTTTGATCAGTAGGTTAAAATGAAAGGCTCCAAACTCTTGTACAGGGTCAGTGTTTTGTCATACACTTTCCTCTACGAGCACATGTTGCTCCATCTGGTTCTCTGAATCAGTCGTTGCTTCACCAGAACCTTGTTTAAGATATTCCCTGTTTACGGTATACAAAGTTATTTTTACAACATAAGGTACTGCATTTAAAAATACTTTACTGAGAAGTCAGCTTCTAGTGAAATACAGGGTTATACAAAAGTTAGATTTGAAACTATAAACATTGCCTCAGTCATGTTACCCGTGGTCTTTTGGGGGAAAAAGATGGTAAAGTTTTTAATTCCCTCATTAGCATACTTTGCCAGATTCATGCTGTCATCAGAGAAGAATTGGCACTTGTTACCCATTAATGGGTATCTTTTATACATTTGTACTATTCAAATACTTTCTAGACTCTTAATTAATTGTTTAGTATAAATATGTATCACCAGAGGAAACTAGGATTTACATGGGTAAGAAGCTACCTAAAGAACGTGACTTAGAGAGGATACTTGGACAGCATTGCCCTGAAGTGACAAATTTTATTGCTGTACATAAAATTCAAGAAAAAAAAATCAAACTCAAGAAGGAAAGAAGCTTCTGATAAGGAATCTGGCTGTTATGTTTTATAAAAAAACAATAGTTATGGAAATTCTGTTAAACAGAGGGTGTAAGGTAGGGAAATGCTCGAGGGAACGTGGGCAGGGGCTGAAGCCCCTGAAGATTTCAGTCAGGAAAGCTTAGGTTGTCCAACTAGAGGATGTTGTTTTGTCAAGTGGAAGCATTGGTTTCAGAACAAGGTCAGCTCTATGCGTTACGATGAGCTATCTGGTCTCCAGGTATTGCACCTTGGCCTAATGGGACATGTGTTCACCATGCATTTCACCATCTAGAAGTCATTTAAATAGAATTAAACTGACAGTAAAAAAAAAAAAACACTGTGCTGTTTTATTGGTATGGTAATTCTCATAGGCCCAACTAGTGCAGTCAGTTACATGCACATTGATTCATGGTTGCCTAGAGGAGAGACTTTCAGAGTGAAGATGCTTTGGTTGTGATTATAGCATCGGAGGTACGCAGCTTATCCTAAATTATTTTAAGTGCAATGATTAATTCTATTTTCTAGCTAAATGTTTGACTGGTTAATAAGTAATTGCATCTGAACAGAAACAGGAAGAGAGCGGTGGACCAGATTGTGCGCAATTTGCTCTTGGTGACTTGGATTCAGAGTTTGCCACTGTTAAACAAAGGCAAATTTTAATTTAGAAGCAAACCGTTCCTTGGAGTAGCCACTTGAAAGAAAGCAGAGGCGAGTGTGGCTCTTTTTTCTGTTTGTATCCATACATAGAGACCGTGCAGCAACAGGAGTCCTTTAATCTTGATACCCAAGGAGCGAACTGAAATACCTGGGAGTCTTTATCATGACTCCTAATTGATGGCGACCTTTACAGAACATTTAAACAGTTTGCACTCTGGTGCAGAGGCTTTACGTGAAACGATTAGTATTTCAAAAAGACAGAAGTATTCACCTATTCAATATTCATTCTTCAGGAGCTGGTGAGTCAATTCCTGTCAGCTCCAGGAAATGCAAACTCTAAAAGTAAACAATGTTGTTCTGTAAGCGTTTTCTCCTCTTAGAGTAGTTACATCCCCACATGAGCCTAAATTCACAAAATGGGCTGCAATGAGACTGTGCAATTGAGAAATGAAAAAGCACTCGTAATTCTTCAAAGCGTTTAGATAGTGGAGCTATGACTTCTAAAGTTTTTTCCTGTTGGTACATTTAGAAGAACCAAGGAAAGTTTGTTTTAACCAATAGAGCTCCGCTTTGCAACTTCTGCAGAAGGAAGAGATACAGGGCGAAGTGACCAAGCAGCTATGAAACATGGCAGAAGCATAAAGACCTCAGTCTAGTAAATTGTAAGTGATGCAGAAAGGATAATCCTGTGCCAACATCAACAAATGAAATCAACCACGAAACAAAGAATGGAGAACCTAAAATCATCTCCATGCCAATACTGTCAGTGCTGTGTTGCTTTTCAGCGTGCTAAACCCCTTTCCCTCCACTGTCAACTACAAAAACATCTGCCCCTGCCCTGCTTCAAAATATTCTTCTGCCTGCTGATACCTTTTCCGTACTCCAAAATGTTGGTTCTCTGGTCCAATTATGAGTGGAAAACCTGGGCAGCAGATGAGGTAGCTGGGACCCCGACAGGGCTAAAACTGATCTTCCATTCAAAGTTGTGGCATACTCATTCTCCTCTTGTCCCACCACTCCTAAGAGCGATGAGCAGAGCACCTTGTTGCAGCTGTTTTAAGGGCTTTTCCTGAAGGAGCAGTTTTTCTAGCCCTCATGGTTACACAAACACAGCGTTGCCCCCTGAAACGTGCCTAGTCAGCATGAGCACTGTAGGATAATGAGCTCCATTTCCCTGGGCTCTGTGGGCTGCTGAAATACTGCATTTTGCTGCACTTCCTGACACGAGCAGTCCTGCTGCTTTACATCTAATCTTGCAAATAAAACAAGCGAGAGTTAGGAGCTGTGGTTGCAAGCCAGTGGAGCAGAAGACAGGTTGACTCTTGGCCTCCTCAAAATGCCAGTGGTGTTTCACATTGCTGCTCTTCCGCACACAGAAGCAAAGCACAGTCACAGCATAATGCTGGTTATTGACAGATGCATCTATAAATAGATATAAAAACATTCAGTTGGTTTCTTCCTTTTCCTTTTATAAAATTCTTTTACAAATCCATAGTGATAACAGCTGTTGCAAGCTCAGGATATCAGAGAGCATCTGAGGGCAAGAAGAGCTTCTCTGGAAGGACATTTTGTCTTCTCTGGGACTCCTGAGAATACAGCAGATCTGATCTGTGGTGTCTCCACCTCCCAGTCCTAGTGCGATTCCACAGCTCTGCAATTTTCCTGGAATATGTTTCCAGCTGGCAGACCCATCGCTGTGTCTAGAGCCCACCGAGCTGTTCTGGGCTCTGATTCCCATTATGAGTAGGGCTAGTTAATGATTTCCTGGAACTGGACCTGAGGAAACAAGCAGAGATGACAGAAAAGGCAAGCAGACCATCTTCCTTTGAGAAGGCAATGCGAGGAAGAGCTTCTCAGCCAGGCCACTGACACACTTCCAGGAAGGTGGTCACCCTCCACACAGCTGAAGCTCGAGTTGCCAGTTTCATGAGCTCTTGGAGCTGCCCCAATTCCATTTGCAATCATTATGGACTGAAAATGTGAGGCCATTTATAGACCAACCATGATACAGCAGCTTCCCTTGTTCCCCAACTAACTACAGCAATGATTAGGGAGGGAGGGAATAACTTGGCTAAACTCATTTGGAGGCATATAATTTCCTGGAATTGAACGGCCTTTGTTTGCCATTAACGTTTACCGCAGTTTCCGTATCTCCCGTTTCTATTAGTCATAAAAATAAAGCTATTACATTTAAACACAACAGCCAAGTCCCACTTACTTTACTTCCTCATACTTTTTGCCTCGATAAAAGTTACTCTTTTTAATCAGATACAGCAGCACCAGGTCACAAAAGAAAGCTCCCTGCAAAACAGTAGAGAAAACTTGTCACGGTCTGTAACAAGGAACAAAACCATCTCTCTGTACGGCTACTGCTGTACCCCCTCTCCAAATTCACCCAAGCTGCACATCCTTCAACAATCTTTCCTTCTGGCTAGTGTGCTGGGCCTGCAGTTACTCGCATTTGCTCCAAGTTCTCATTTATGCATTTGTATCTTACCTTTTTTTCCCTAGATGCTTAAATCTTACGGTCTTTGCGCTGTGTTTAAGGAACCCTTTAGCCAGCAAGGACAGTTTAGGCCTGCTGCAGTACAAATATTCTTCATTTCTCAACTCAAGCTTCTAAAGTCATCACTTGCTTCTGCTGGGAAAGTCATTGTATTCCCAGAACTCAAGGGTGAACTACTAAACACAGGCTAATCACAGTCAAAGAGCTGAGGCATAATTCGAATTAGAGGGCAGACACTGAGAAAAACTGAACTCAAAGTATTTGACGGCCATGAGGACCTAGTACTTGAGCATATCACAGTCTTCACCATGTTTGCCCTTGCCATGGTACCAAAGCTAAAATCTATCAGCACAATTCACTTTCTTTCAGTACATGCTTTACCTTTAAAGTAGAAGAGGAAGTATTTAGATTAAATTTAAAATGAGCATTACTTAAAGAAGAAGAATTTGTAGAAGCTGTATTTTCCTCCATGAACTGTAATCGTGGGGATACATTAACAAACGCCTTTAAGACAGGACAGACACACACCTGACTGAGCAATGAGAGTACTAAGACACATCTAGGTCCCAATACATTACTGTAAGAAAGTACATTAACTTACCGCTCCCATGAGAGCAAGCCCTGAACCAATATTGATAATGGTGGGAATGATGTTAAATTTACCTGCCTGAAAGAAAAAGAGGTCATGAAGCATTCAGTGGAAGAACAACCCAAAGAACAAGCTTAAGGATACGGAGTTACACAAGGGAAAGTACTTGGGCCTATGCGTGTGTTCTGTTAGCAAGAAGCAGGCATGGCTGTAGAAAGGCTGGCACTGAACAATCTTTGAGTTTAAAGGTCTGTGTTTGTCTCAGATCCAACTGTCTGCAGCTGCATTTCTGAGCTTGCACCATTCCTCAGTTAGACTTCTTTTTCGACAGTGAATATGCACAGAAAAGCCTTGGAAGCATCTTCACCTCTGTCGGACTTTACATGAGCCTGTTTTTAGGTATAAGAGGTGCAGACTGCTGCCTGATTCACACTCCAGGTCATCTCCTTCCTTATGTGGAGTTAGCTCCACACGAACCAACGGCAAGAGCCCTTCTCTACAAGCCAGAGCGGCTGTTCTCATGCCAAGTGCTGCCTTTCCACTGAGAAATGCCTCTCCACTGCTTCCTCTCCAGGCTCAGAAATGGGACCTTACCTTGCCATTCACCATCACATCAAAGCGGATTCCATATGCTTTAATGAGCGTCCGGTAGTCGACCCCATTAGCATCCTGGTAATACTTGGCAAACCTGGAATTCAGCAGTGGTGATTCAGCAGTGAACTCCATCATCTGCTCCGTGTGCACATAAACACACCTGAATTCACTGCACTGTTCAAACAGATCTATTCCCCTATCAAAGGGGGAATCAAAAGCAGCTTTAGCTTACAAGTTATAGGGGAATCAAAAGCAGCTTTAGCTTACAAGTTTGGTCCCAACATTGAGTCTCACAGGGACGCTCAGGTTGGGCACTTCTTGAGAAGGTATTTCATTTCTAGCCTCAGCTGGAGGCATCAGAAAGCCACTCACATTGGGAACTGCCTACATGCAGTCAGAGAGAGCTGCTTCCCTAGACATTCCTTCCTCATTGCCACAGAAACCTCTGCTACACCAGAGGTTTCATGGCTCGGGCCTGTGGGTCATCCCTGCAATTAACTGCTCGAGAGTCAGGCAGAGGAGCAGTGGTTAACACAGATTACAAAGGGACTGGCAGAAGTCATAACCAGTCTGTTTTCAGAGATGGAGTTACAGCACAGGTGTCAGGAGTCTGATGGTGGCAGCACACAGAGGGTAACGGCTCGGGCAGGGGTGTGGGAAGTGGGGAGCTGGCCACGGGCATGCCGCTCTCCCTCCCTCAGCTGACGCCACATGCTTGGCTAGCGGCATTGCTTGGCACGACCTAATCTGGTACTACTTCACTGCTGAGTTCTGAAGCCTCCGAGTCAAACCAGCTCTGCCTCACTGCAGGTACCGCATCACATTCTCCTCTTTGCCTACCTGAAGTTGTACCCAGAAGAGATGGATTTTTCTGCAAACTTGTTATCCAGCCGGCTAAAAGAATAGTGAGGATTACATTCAGAAGGGGCTTTATCAAGATCACAGTTCCATTCAATCTGAATTCCTATCACACCACCCTTAACAAAAGAGAGAGACAGTGTGAGTTTTTTAAGCTTAGTTCAATTCTTCTGTCTTCAAAATTGTCAGATCCTCAGGCAAATTTCCCCTAGGAACAAGAACAGAAGCATTTCTGGTCACAGACACAAGCACGCACACTTCTGGATCAGCTAAGTTCATGTGTATGATATTACCATATTATTCTACACTACTACTCCCCTAGTTTTCCCTGTGCTGGTATCACAGGGAAGTACAGCAGTGCCTTCCTGACACTGCCTTCACAGGGCCCCAAACTCGCCTAAGAGGAAATTTCTCACCCCAGGGCACTGATTTAATTCATTCACGTGGCTGTAACATACTTCAGTGCAAAAGTCATTCTTCTATAAACGGACAGAGATCAAAAGTGCAGAAGCCAGCACAAAGCCTTCGCTCTTCTCACCCAGCGTTTCCTGCAGTGCCTCAGACGGGCTCTGTTCTGCCATGTGCTACGCAAACTGGGTTGCAGCCTGTTTGGCACCACAGCCTGTCCTCCGTGGGAATCCCAGGCAGAAATATGTCTGTTCACCTGACACTTCCCACAGAGGAAGCCCCAAGGGGCTTTCTCTGAGCGCGGGGAGCCCCATTGACTTTCCGGAGTTCTTCGCATCTAAATTGTTTTAGTAACGTTATGATTAATCGAGCAGCAAACCCTGCTGGCAGAGGAGAATTTTGGCAGCCCTGAATAACAGACAACTGACCTGATCACCTCTTCCACCGCACCTGCAACATTGCTTTGCCTGAACTGTTCCCATTCCCTGGGGTTGGAATAAATGGGATCCAGCATGATTCTAAGAACCAGCATCCTTCTGCTGCCCCCTGAGCCTGGATGGGTGGCAGATCCCCAGGCAGCCAGTGGTTCTCCCCAGAGCCACCCAGGGAACAGTACAGCCAGTTGACAAAACACACGGGTCCAAGAGGCACTCCTACCTCCAAGGCCATTTCCTGGAAGTTGCTCCCGGCCCGTCTGACAACGTTCCCCAGGAGGAAGATGGGGCAGTAGGGATGCTCTGTGCTGTAGCGGCAGCTTTTCAGGTAGGACTCATTGCTGGTTGCCAGCACATTCATCCTGCATGTGGGGAACAGGGGAAGCCATCTCATTTCCCTCTTTGCCTGCCTACACTGCTGGCTTAGAGAGCACCCCCAGGGCTGCAGAGACAAGAGACCCCACCGATATCCCATGCGGACAACAGGAACAGCACCTTCCACCAACCTTGTCACCCTGTGGGCCTCTACTGCCGGCCTAGGGAAAGCAGCCTGCTCACATGAAAAAAGACCTTCAGGCTGGATGGGAGCTAGGCCAACTAACTCTGGGCTCCAGGACCAACTCATCTGGAGCAGGCTGCCAGGCTGCTCCAGGGCCATTTGGTATAATGTTTCCTCCAAAAAAAAAAAAAAGAAAAAGAAAAAAAAATATGGAATGTCTAACTAAGCCTAGCAAAGTGGAAAGACAACACTCCTTTCTACAGTTCCTTCTTTCATTCGTATTTGAGCCAGAGATGCAGCAGCAAATGCAAACAAATATTTTAAATTGGCATTTTCCCAGCCTTGTCCAGGTGCCTTCATTTTTACAAAGGGGAAGAGGAGGAATAATTGGGAGCAAAAATAGTTGGGGGCACTGACTTTGCACTAGCTCAGGAACAGATCTATCCCCTTAGGAGCTCCCCCCAGGCCCATCCTGTGCTGAAGGAGCCATCACAGACCTCATTTGGTGAGGGACAGCCTCATCCCAGCTGCTATTTTCCCCGAGAAACTCGCAGAAGGTTGGTGGCTTTCCTTCAACGTCCAAGCCCTCATTATCTCCTTGCTCCTCCACAGCCTGAAGCCAAAGGCCTCCTCCTGCCTTAGGAGAGGATACCTTCACCTCCTCGCCCCAGCCCTAAGGCAGGGGAAGGATGCTGGAGCAAACTGAGGGTACTGGCTCTGTGATGGAGAGCTCACAGGGACCTCCGAGCATCCGCACTTACTTGGAGAACTTAAACTTGGGGAAGCGGATCGAGTTCTTGATGTAAATGGTGAAGTTTTCTGCACTGGCAAGAAGAGGTTTCCTGGAAGAGAATGGCTTGTTATCTGTTTTATGTTTGTAGCTTGCCCAGGTGTTTAAACTGGGATTTCCATTTAAGAAACAGTTAAGTTTTATCCTGTGGTACTTCTGCAGGGTGGGCCCTCTGGTCAGAGCTTAGGGCTTCAGCAGCCAGGCTCTGCACCTCCACAGACCAGTCCCAACTCCCCCCACCCCTGCCAGCCATGCCACTTGCACCCCTTTGCCAGCGAGGAGGGTGCAGGTTGAGGGGGAGCGCGGACAGCTGGACACAGCCCTGGGACAGCCCAAGCAGAGGGGAGCAGAGGCCCAGCCCTGCCCGGGGGCCACGCACAGCTCCCTGCTGCACTGGAACAGCCAACATTCAAACAAGCATCCAAGCAGAGGGAACCTAGAACAGCTTCGGATGACGCTCAAGCCAAAGCAACGGAAGCTTGGAAACAGCACAGGATGCCCACGTACTTGGACTTGGATCTTTTCTCCACAGGACACCAGGCCAATATCTCACAAGTCCCTCTGATGTTGTCCCTGTCTTTCAAGCAACGGCCAGTCTTAACCCCTGCAGTACAGATATCACAGAAAAGGTCACCAAGAGCAGCCATCTCCTCTCCTTGTCCACAGGGCAGGGAAAATCAGATGCTTTTCACTGCCACCCTAAGCCCTCCTCCCTGCTGTGAAAGGGCCTCTCAACTGGAACAGCCGCTCTCCTGTTGCTTCTCTGAGCAGCCTGGGGTGCTTTGGTCCAGCCACTGTGGCTTAGCAGAGCTGTAAACAAGGCAGCAATCTCAATAAAAGACAACAAAGAAAAGAAAACCATCACCACATCTTCCTCGTTACTAATCGGAGATCTTTGGTGCTGTATCCAGGCTGATGTCTCTGAAGGAGCCTGCCTCTGCCAGAAAGAGTACAGGAGGAAGGACCCTTTCCTTACCGTTGCCAGCCACCACCGCTTCCCCTGCTGGGCAGTCCCCATCCGTGTAACACAGGGCATCGGGAATACTGGCACTCTGCAAAGTGGAAGGGGACAGAAGTGAGACTTGCAACAGGACATTGAACACTGAGGAAAACTGTATCAATCTCGCTGCAGCCCCCAGAGAAGGCTCACTGCACATACCAGCTGAGGAGGCACCCAAGCGGGCAGCAGCGGATAGGGCAGACAGCTGCGGAGCTGCCTGCTGAGTACATGCAGCCACTAGAGGACAGCCACGTCCTGAACAACAAGCTGTGCTCTCAGCTTGGGCTACCCCTGTGCTCGTGACAAGACCATCATTGCTACATGGAGATGCTCCCTGGATGGCCAGTGTCCTCCTCCCCCAGGCTCTGGCCCATTCTGAAACAGGTAACCACAAAGGACATTTAAACATCACACAGTTTGAAAGACCTCACGGCCTTGGCCTGGACAGTGCTAAGCACCCTCCGATGTCCTGAAGATAATGAAGCCTGAGTTCAGCCCTTCCTTATCAGGGATCTTAGAAAGTCTATTTTACCCTTAACTAGACTCAGTCACCTCAAAGTTGTTTTCCCACGGCCTCTTCTGGCCCTGAACAATCACTGTTATGGTCTCATCTCTAGCTGGGCAGAGGTCCAACACCTTTCACCAAAGTCAGCCAGACTCTACATGATCAGCACTTGGGGAAATTAAGACAGCTGAACCTCCCAGGTTTTCAGTAACCTGCCCAATTTCCCTTATAGAGATGTTATACTACAGAGAAAAAGCATTTGCCTTTCATCCTCCCAGTGTTTGCTGCTCCCCAGGTGTCAGTTCTAACCCCATTTTGTAGGAGTCTGGGGGTCAAGGGGCTCAGTTCTCCCCACCTCAGGACACGTAGCTTGCTTCTGGTTTGGGGTCACAATCAGGTTCGTCATGACAAAGAAGACGTTTTCACCCTAGAACAAACAAAGCAAGGCAGGAAGAGTTAGAAAACCTATCTTACTCCTTTACCTGTCACAAGGAGGATGCAGTCCACTGCAGAACTGTAACACTTCCCTCTCTCCTGCTGCTTTTCAGGCTGAAATGAAACAGTGCCCTTTGTTCGGGTATTTGTTTGGATGAGGTTGGATACTGCCAATCTCACACACAGCTAGGGAAGCTCTGACGCAAAAAAGTGCAGTGATTTGGTCAGTCACTCAAAAAAACAGCCGAGGGCTGAGAACAAAGAGGGGTTATGGGTGTCCCAGGTTAAGGTGTTATCATCCACTAGACCACGCTGCTTCTCTGATACAGATATGAGCCTCCTTATATGCACGTGGAAAGTCTGATCAGGCAACCTCCGTGTGAGCCTAAGAACATACGGCTGCAGCAGGTCTCTGTGGCATAAGGGTTCTGCTTCGGAGGCTACGTTAATTTGGTGAGCAAACTGTCTGACAGGAACGCTGAGCCTTTCCTCGCCGGCTGCTTGGCAACCGCTTGTCCTCCTTTTCCATGAGGACACGGTGACTGAACAAGGCCCCATCCCACTGCAGAGCCACAGGTATTTGTTCTCAGCCCGGGTCACACAGGCTGGCACAGCTGCACTGGTGCAAGCCAGAGGTCACACAGCAAGGCAGCAGGGCACGGTTCAGGAGCAACGCATGGACGCGTGATAAAACAAAGCAGAGCACTTCTAGCATGAGCTATGATAGATGGAATACAGATCATTTTACCAAGCAACTGGGATGACTCGCCAAGACACGAAAGGGGGACAAAACCGCAGTCAGGTGTCTCTCCAAAATCTTTATTTCTGGCAGTGTTGGGCTTCCTCTGTGTTCAGGCAAAGCCATAATGTATGTGTCGACTCCTGTTCTGGGGCTGTCTTTTCTTTGCACATATGCAGCTTCTATCTCCTTCCTTCTGCAGCTTCAGCAAAAAGAGTTATAAAAGTGCTTACACAATTTCCTGTGAACCAACTGCCAAAGGCAACCACAGGAAAAACAAGGCTGAAGGTGGCTGTACAGTCAGCGGGAGGGGAAAGAAGGTAGCTTAGCACAGCACTGGAGAGAGAGGCTGGTTCTCTCATCCCTTGTCATTCAGAAGTGAAATGAATGCAGAAATAAAATGTATTCTTCTACCACCTCCACTCCATAGCATGCATGTGCAGGAAAGGGAGGAGGATCAGCAACAACCTCAGCTACAGCACTTCGCTGCAGCTACAGAAACACTGGGATTCCCAACAGCCCTGCTGCTGGGGGAGCAGGGGAGCCTTTTGGGGCTGCTGGGGAGCCTGACTCTGATCATACCAAAGGGACACACATAGTCAATAGAGTCAGCCCAAAAGATGGGTCCAAGGTGCTGCCTGCAGCGGTGAGCAGCGAGAAAGACCCAGCTCCAATCACGCGACCAGCATCACTGTCCTGCCGTGAGACAAGGCAGCCCCGAACGTCTTGGGCAAGCAATCCTCACTCACGACATAGAGGTCAGCAGCATGCTAAGCCCTGCCAGCCATCTGAAATGCTGAGCACTCATCTGAGCAAGCATCGGGCAATAAATGTGTCCGATTAGGAGCAACCTCTGGACCTCAGACATCACCAGGTTGCTTTGAGTCACGACAGGAAATAATAGGTTTCTGCCAAACTGTCAAAGAATGAGTGAAGTCCAGTCCAAGGAAGCAATGAATGAAGGATTCATGAGGTGAATCCCTGTTCTGTGTTATACATAACCCCA